AATTTCCTTTGCTGGCAAAACGTATCGCTAGCAAAACAGGGACAATAATAGATATACCATAAATATTAAGAGCAAGGAAGTAAGTGCTAATTAAGTGCTACAAGTATAAGCAATGATAAGACGCCTCTAATAAATATAAAGTTGTTATTCAGAACAAAGTAGATGCAAAAATCAGGTCTTCTGAAAAACGGTATAGAATTAATTTGATAATTAAGTGCTAATTAAGTACTTTGCAAAACATAACTCACTTTTTTACATAGGAATATTGACACAGTTACTTGTGCAACGGCTTTGGCGCTACGGGAAGTGCAGTCCCTTCGCCCTTGTGTAGCAAATCACAGGCACCCATGCTCACTTGCGCAGCTTCGGCTTATTGACCTCAGCCGCTACGGCTCGCACCGATGATTGCGATTTGCTAGAGCGGACGGGGGCTGCTCTCCTACCGTGCCCACGGCTTTACAAAAACACACAAAAAATGCCGTTCATACCTTATAGTAAGGTAAAGTCCTGGACCCGATAACTCCAAGAGTGTTCCGTCCTCTACATCCAACCTCAATAAGTTTTCAGCACTTAATTAGCAATTCATTACTTGCTATTAACATTTGTCGTATATCTATTATCATCACTGCGTTGCTAGTGATACGTTTGGCCAGCAACGCAAATTTCAACAGTTCGTTGCAGTAAACATTTTGAAGTACCTAATTTATAAACCTCGCACCAAATTAGCACCTAAAAATCCCCTAATTTTGGCATTTTCTAAATATAAATTCGTGATATTGCGTTGCTGGCTAGACGCAATTTCTCCATGTCTATATAAATCATCATCATCATTACAGCCCTTCACAAGTCCACTGCTGAACATAGGCCTCCCCGAAAGAATGCCTCAAAAGCACGGTCCTGAGCCACCTGCATCCATCGACTATCTGCGTGTCTTACCAGGTTTTTACTCCATCTAGAAAGGGGTCACCCTACACTTCGACCGCCGGTAAGAGGCTACCACACGAGAATCTTTCTTCCCTATCGGTCGGTTCTTCGAGCTATATGGCTGGCCCATTGGCACTTCAGCTTACTAATCCGTTGGGCTATGTCAGTTACTCTAGTTCTACTGTGGATATCCTCGGTTTATCACGCAGAGAAACCCCGAGCATGCCCATCTCATGTCTCACATCCATAGGTCGTCACTGGCAACACGCACTGGTTGTAGACTCTTGTTTTGAAGTTTTAAGATATGTCTGACGAGTAGATGTGTCGTACTCTCCCGAACGCTGCTCAGCCGAGTTGAACCCGTAGATATATAAAACATGAAATAACATAATGGTCATACTTGATAATATTTAAAAGTTTCAACTTTTAAAATTAAAAACTGACGTGAAAATAATTATGAGAATATTTTAAACAGACAGAAATATATACGCCTTGAGTTTACATTTGTCTGTATATCTAAGAATTAATTAACGAACTTTATTCAGTACTTTGTGGACATGGCATCCAACGGGCGATCTCCGACTTTGGCTGATATTTTGCAATATAAACAGAAGCTTTTACGTTCAGTGTAGTATTTACTGACAAGAACAGCTACGGTTTTCACATTTAAATGAAGTTCTATTTCGTTTATAACCATTTTGTAACAAGCGATTCGTAATTTTGATCATTAATGAATTAAATATATTTTTATACACTTTTTTCACTACTTCCTTGGTCTAGTGATTGTAGTATTGCGACTGCTGATCTTGAAGTCCGGGGTTCGAATCCTAGGTGAGGCCAAAAATATCAGTTATTGAGTGTTTCCATCAAAAAATTCTCTTTTCAAAAATTCTTCTTTCAAAAAATTCTGAAAAAACTCGCCAGGAAGTTGGCGATGTCTCACCCCCGTACCTCGGAAAGCATGTTAAACCGTTTGTCCTGCGCCTGATCTCTCTCCGGTCGTGTCGGTTTACCGTCCCATCGGACTATGAGAGTGGGGGAATAGAGAGTGCATCTGGGCTTGCGCATCCACTTAGGTACTATAATCCTGTATTGCACAGATGATTAGTTTCCGTTGAGGCTGGCCGTCGCGACTAAAATTCGATCTGGAGGACATTAAAATTAAACTTAAAAATACGTTTGCTTAGATTTTTTTGTTATTTAAGTTAACTTAATAACGATTGCGAAAGCAAATAAATCTAATTTTAGGAAAAAACTAAGACTTAACACAAAAATACCAAGTTGACACGAAAAATATTCCAACATATTATTTTTTTTTCATATTTTTATCATAATTATAATTTTAGCCCTTCACCAGTCCAGCAGTAGACTGCCGCAGGCTGATGATGATGATGATGTTGATTAAGTCCAGTACTGAACAAAGGCCGTTTAAAGTTTCACGTTAAAGCACTTTTCTAAGCCACCTGCAGCCATCGAATTCCTGAATCTCCTACCAGATCACCTCCCCATCTAGTGGGGGCCGCACTATACTTCGCTTACTTCACTCGCTTACTACCGGTACGAGTCCGCCACTCGAGAATATTCATCCGTCAAGGGTGGTTGGTGAAAATTTCCATATTTGCACCTTAATATTTTTCGCTCGATTGACAGTTATATCAAATTATAAATTTTCTACTGACTCATGATTTTACGGTAACTTTTTACGACTTGTGGTAATTTATGATAATTTATTACGTACTAAAATCAAGGAGTTCTGAGTTATTTACGGTACGGTTTTTCTTTAGAAGTTTCGCTTTTAAAATTAATATGGCTACTGCCCCGCTCCTTTTTATGCGACCAACACTGACTGTTGATATATTATGTTTTGACGGTGTGAAATTATTATTTTTGTTTTAAGGTTTGAGAAAGTCACATCTAATTCAAATAGCAGCTACCGCATGATTTTTTTCCTGTAAACTGCTTTGCCGTTAAACATAATACGGAAACCATAATTAAATTAGGCAAATAATTCGCAAGTAAAAATAAAATAAAATTATTTATATTTTTTTAACCAAAATGAGATTTCACATACTTAAAGCAATTATTTTTATATAAATAAAGGTGGGAAAACTAGAGACGGATCTTTTATTGATAAAGAATAAAAATGGAACATGCGTTTTACTCTTGCAGGCTAATATTGAAAGCATCACTACTAGAAATAATGTTAGAGTTCAAAAAAACTTAATACACATTGATCATGAACAGTAATACACTGAGAATACAAGTCATAGTCAGATATTGTATTATCATCAGTTCTTACCGTTAATAAGTTATAACTTATATATATGATAATCCGAAATTATTCTGAATTACTCTGAAATTTGAAGTTATATGATAATCTGAAACGTGTACGTTTGCACAATTTCAGATTATCAGTCGTTTGAAAGTGTGTAAAAACTGAATTATAAAATTACCTTACATCATTCATCATCATCCTTACAGCCCTTCACAAGTCCACTGCTGAGCATAGGCCTCCCCCAAGGAATGCCACAAAGCACGGTCATGAGCCACCTGCATCCATCGACTTCCTGGATGTCTTACCAGGTCGTCACTCCATCTAGTCACCCTACACTACGCCTATCGGTACGAGGCTGCCACTCGAGAACCTTTTCTAGCCCATCGCTTGTAGGTTCTTCGACCTATATGGCCGGTTCATTGTCACTTCAGCTTACATTCGTACGTAAATACATAAAGTTCAAGTTAATGTAAAAAGTATTTTCAATTCTTGACACTTAGAACTAGGTTTTAAGTTATTTCGACATAGCGTAGACTTTCCTCGGTCGAGCCGACCCGTTCATCGGTCTACCAGTACAGCTCCAATAAATTTTAACGAATAACTACACAAGCGAAAGGCTTCATATGAACGTCAACAATATTTCAGATAATAATATTAGGCAAACAGTTGGTGAAATGATGAGGTGAACGATAATCCTGCGAGCGCTTGCGTAACGTTGCCAGCAACACGCAGTGAGCAGCGGTGCAAACTCAATTACTGCGACCTATTTTCATGAGTCAACGTTCGGAATCGTAATTAAAGCTCATTGTTTATATCCATTATATTAAATTTTTTGTCGTTATTGTCTTTTCAGCCTACTAGAGAATATTAAAAATAAAAAGTAAAGTAAAGTTACAGCCTATATACATCCCACTGCTGGGCACTGGCCTCCGCTCATTTCTGAGAGCATTTTAGGGCAAGGTATAGTCCGCCGCGCCGCCCCAATGCGTGTTGGCAAACTTCACATGTTTTCCTTTTCTTTGCATGGTTTCCACGATGTTTTCCTTCAACGCCGAGCACGTGGTAAATCAGCACTTAAAATTGCAGTTAACAATTTCATTGGAGCCGGCGGTGATCGAACCCGCGTTACTCGTGTTCTGTTATATTTATAGCGAGCGTTAACCATCTGAGCTACCACGGCTCAGTAAAAATAACTGTAGCTCAATAAAAATAATTGTTATTTTTCTAAAGAATAAAGGGCCTCATTTCCATACTTGGTCGAGCCACGCTGCAGGGATGACCACGCCCTCTCAGAATATTTGCGTCAAGTAGCAACTTAATGCTGTTGCGTTTCGTCTATTAAGTGTAGAGAACCGAAGACCCTTTTTACTAGTAACGACGCATTACCTTAAGTTTAAGGCGTAGCAACTAAGTCCTCAGAGGTGACAACGTATTCTGCAATTTGATTTTTAATCGAGGATAGCTTTAGATATCTATAGGCTACAGCATCCACTTACTTTAGGTGAAATACGTTCTCGTTTAGCTTTTTCTTATAAAATAAGGGTGACTCTTATTCTATAAAAAATGCTATGCCTTAAACTATTTTTCATTATAATCATCATCATAACACACACAGCCCTTTAAAGTCAGCAGACATAGGCTTAATGTTATGGTGTCCGAAGTCGCTTCACTATCATATCTTCCCCATCGGTTCCGCGGTTCTTCGAGCTATATTGATGGCACATCGAAACTTCCGGTTTTTTTTTTACTTAAAGCTTTTTTGTTTTTGCAAAAATTAATCTAATTTTTATTTTGCTTAAAGGTAAACAACCACAACTGCAGAAAACTCCATCTATCTGCGACGACGTGGAATTAAGGTACAGGCTTGTGTTTTTTTTTATATTTATTAATGTCTTATGACTAGTACAGTGCTGGCATTACAGACTCGAAACAAGATTCGAATTCATGTAACAAAACTTCTTTCTTTATGAAAAAACTATTTCTTTAGTGTTTTCTTATAATATACTTTATAATTTAGTAAAATTCGCAGCCAGGAAACCAAAACCGATATAATAATATATTAGCAGTACACTTAATGAATAATTTGTGCAAATAATTATTTAAATATCTTATGTATTATCATAGACACAGGGATGATCACGATGCAGCAATTTGTATGTTACACAAATCATATTTTATCCTAGATTATTTTGACTGACTGATGATTCTTACACAATATCAGCATTTTAACTAGCAAGTCATCTAACTGTTGGTTCGCATAGTAATTCATAAATGTAAAAGTAGTTTGTATGATAAAAAATAAAATAGCTGTATAATTAAAAGCTGTGCGCACACACACAGGTATTCACTCGGTTTAACCTTCCTGTAGCCGATCTAATGCTAATTCGATAAAATCTTTTTGTTATTCAAGTAAAATTGACGAACTCGTAGCACACCTGATGGTGATCGAATGCTGTACACTTGCGTGTTTTTAGTACGTACCTAAACTCAGATGCGTCGTCACCCCTGATTACTAAGATGAAATGCCTCTTTATCGGTAAATCGCTTGTTCTCGTCACTCAGCGCACGAAACACAGTAGTATCATGCTGCTATTTTACACTGTATTATAAGAATGTGTTCGTTCCCCAGTTGAGTCGATTCGCATTGCAGCCTTACAACAATATAACAATTATATTAATTACATTAATAAACATTTATAGTACATAAGATGCTTTCAATAAAATGCAACTTATAGCAGATATGGTTAATATTTTCGTCGTGGTTTTTACCTTATCGAATTTAAAAGTAAAAGGTAATGGTTGATTCAGTGACGTGACCATGTAAATAAGAGCCTTTAGTGGCGTGTATCGAATGAATAACGATGTCCCAGATTTCGATACGCACATGTTAGGAAACACAATCAAAACTCAATCCGAAAACACTTCGAACTCATCGTCCGATCACGCAACGCCGCAAAACTTTGACAATGCGATAACAGTGACACAAAACTCTAACTCGCATTGTAACTTTGTAACGGACAATCATAAAACTAATTTCGCTAGACTACTCCTTTCTCTACAAAAAGATGGTAGATTAGTAGATGGTAATATTTTTTGCCTACATGTCTGTCAGGGTTGTGCCATCCTCTTAACTATTTCTGCCGCTTATTTTTGTCCTCAGGGATGACAAATTCATTTGTGTTCGTTCTTCTTTGTCTAAAGTTGATAGCAGATTCCATTGGTGAATTAGCCACTTACACCGATTGCTCATTCGTAGCTCTAATATTACAACAAAATAAGGAATCATCTTTATTAATCCCTCTAGCAGAAATAATGAAATAATTTACCAAATTATTCCCAAACATAGATGCTACCTAACACCAATTTTCAGTACAAACGATTTTAAATGTTATCCTTCAAGTAACATTACATTCATCACTATCATCATCATAATTGCAGTCGATCACAAGTATACTGCTGAACATAGGATACCTCTCACAAGAAATGCCACAGTGCACGTTCATCAGCCACCTACTTCCATCGACTTCTTACATCTCATCAGGTTGTCACTCCAGGAGTGACATCGCTCTGTATCTTCTTAATCGGGGATTGGTGTAGATGTCTAGGCGACGCGGCATTGACTAACTATCAAGCGGACTGTATGCTAATTTGTGACCCTTTTTCTATAAAAAATCGAACTATATAGGTTTTACGATGCACTAAAAGCTTGATATTAGCTATGAATTAAAAATGGGAATGACCTCTTACGTATGGATCTGAGACGTGGTTCTACACTGCTAGCCCTATGAAGAAACCCAAGGTTGCTCAGCGAGCTATGGAAAGGGCTATGTTCGGAAATCAATAAGCTGAAGTAGCAATTATCCGGCCATATAGCTCGAAAAACTAATGAGGAAGAAAGATTCTCGAGTGGCAGCCTCGTACCTGAAAACGAAGTGTACTTCGGCCGTTCCACTAGATGCAGTGACAACCTAGTAAGACACACAGAAAGGTCAATGGATGCCGTTGCCCCAGAACCATGTCTACTAGTTGACTTGTGAAGGAATGTGATGAAGATGATGATGATGATGAAGTATTTCTGTCGTCTGTTTTTTTCTCTAATGAAGTCTGCTTCTGCTTTTATATTCATTCCTATCATAAATATTTTTAACAAAGTTAAATATAAATGCGCTTCACTGATGCACACAAGCTTGCTTTTATTAATGACAGTGTTGTGGATATAATTTGCTGCACTATTCTAGTGAGTGTTGATTTTTTTTCATATAAGTATAATATGTAAATTTTCTCATCGTTTTCTTTCATCCACGAGCACGTCAATGGTAAAAATTACAATTAACAATTTCAGTGATAACGGCGGGAATCAAACTTTTATAATAAAATAAAGATAAGAGCTTAGCTCCTGGGTTACCACGAGTCTTGTCCTCTATTTAATGTTAACTATTAATTATATTTTCATCACGTTTAAACACACAGAATAAACATCAAAGTAATTTAAAATTACGTAAAAATAGCTGCAAAACATGAATAATGGATATTAAAATTGGGTCCCTTATTAAAACACATTATCATCATGAAACTCATAAACAATTTACCATTCAAATGGAGTGCCAACAGACGACCTCTCAAAACTTTTCTCGACTTCTTCCTCCGTTGTGTACTTTTTTATTAAAGAAAATGAAATGATTCATTAAAATTTATATACAAAATTACAATTTCTAATGTAAATAATTGTTGCATATTTTGTATAACCCATATGCGCCCTTAAAACTTTTAAAAGTGCTAAATAAGGTACTTAAAACCACTTTTATTTAAATTTTCATTAAAAAACTAACTACACTAATAATTACCACTGCATCGAAGAAGAAGAAAAACGTCATAATTGTTTATAGGCTATATAGAAATACTTGTTCGATGCGGAAATCGAATTCCGCTACACCTCATGCAACCGTATTGGTTACCGTGCTTTCGAAACGTCATCTTTCTTTCTTTCTATTGAAAGTTTCACGCTCATATTGAGTTCATTAACGGTAAATGTATAGGGTTACGAGGGCGGCACTGAAAATTTCGGGAATCAAGGAGGTGACACAACATTACTATTTAAAAATGTATTTATTGCTTTTCGAAGTATTCTCCGCGAAATTTGACACATTTTTCCATACGATGGAACCAATCATTGAAGCAACCATTCCATTCGGAAGTTGGGGTCTCCAAAATAGCCGTTTTGTAGGCATCCACAGCTTCTTCAGGTGATGAAAATCTCTGTCCACGCAATTTATTCTTTATTTTAGTTAAAGTATAGAAATCATTAGAGCTTAGGTCGGGGCTGTACGGCGGATGGTCTAATAATTCTATGTTTTCTTGCTGTAAAAACTCTTTTGTTCTGTATGCGGGGTGAGAACTCGCATTGTCGTGATGGAGGATGATACGGCGGTTGCAGTTCTCTTTACGGAGTTCAGAAACGACCTGTGGCAAACAAATGCTAGCATACCATTCTGTATTAACCATTCTTTGTCTTTCAAGAGGAATAGTCGTAACATGGCCGGTTTTGGAGACAAACGTTGGCACCATTTTTTTTTTGCAACACTCCGTGAACTAACAATTTTTGTTGGCTTTAACTCATTTTCGAACACCCAAACTCGTGACTGGTTTTTTTGTTTAGGGTTCGTACGCGTATATCCAGGATTCGTCACCTGATACGATGTTGTATACAGCATTTGAGGATCCTGCGTGGAATCTTTCGAGAGTTCTGACGCACCAAGTAACGCGAGCCGCTTTTTGCTCTTCACAGAGTAAAAAGCCGATGGTATTTTCCGATGGTACCGCCATCGGAAAAACAACTTTTTTACACCTAATTGTTCATGCAAGATTATTTGTATCTGACTCATGCCAATTTCTAAAGTTGCCTGAATTTCGCGGTATGTCACATGTCGATCTTCCTCAATCAGCTTACGCACAGCATCAACGTTTCTTGGGTGACTGCAGTTTTTGGACGACCTTGACGGGGATCATCACTGAGCTTGACACGTCCACGTTGAAATTCAGCAAACCAGCGATAAATTGTGGTTTTGGATGGGGCTTCATCACCAAATGCAGAGACCATCATCTGCGAAAGTCATAATGAACCATCGCTCTTGAATTTTCTCGAGTCAATTCCATTTTCTCAACGACTAAACAAGTTTGACAAAACCTTGTGACAAGACCGAGAATCTTTTTTTTAAATAAATAAATGGTATTCGATTTTTAAAATCAAGGAGTTTTCAATTAAAAAGATTTTAATATGACAGGAACAGTGGAAATATTCCATTCCCGATACTTTTAGTGCAGCCTAGTATACAATAAATTTAGCAAATTATGCATAAAGTAAAGTTAACAGGCTATTATACGTCCTGAAGCTGGGCACCGACTTGCTCTTATTTTTGAGAAGATTATGGCACAAGGATGGATACTCGAAATCGTGTGTGAATTAATGTACTAATTCCGACTATCCACCCCAGACGGGGTGGATAGTTGGAATTAGTATATTATTTTTCTTCCGATTTTCACTCTCGGCTGTGTATAGTCGTTTATAAAAACATGGTAGAAACTGGCCCAAGATTACTTAATAGACATTAGCATACTTATAAAAATACATACATACTTCTTGTTTAAAGGTCAAAACTGAAATACTTTTAATTATTCAATTACACATTCTATGTTATATATGATTTCTATGTTATCAAAACCGAAACATTTAGAGATTTATTTTAAGCATAAAATATTACAAACATAAACTCTTTTAGCTAACATTCTCTTTATTAAATATGCTTTACATGAAAACATGTACTAATTAGGTCAACTGTGACGTGCCGGGGTTGATATA